TATATTCTTAGATCACCCTAACTACAGCAATATCACCCCAGTGCTAATAAAAGCAGGATTGAATGAAATTTAGTCTTTTCCTTACCTACTGCTTGATGGATATAGCAGAAAGATACTGTAATTAATCAAATGGGTCCTTTCGAACCCAAGCCATTCTGTGACTCTGTAGAAGTAGAAGCCATAGAAGGAAGTGGACACTTATTTTGTTTCATATACCTATATCCGGCTTTTAACAAAGAAAGCTTGATTGGAAATTGTGACTTAACTGTGGCTGTACAAGATTGTGATTGCTTAGATATAGCAGGTACTAATACTTATTAAACTACCAAAAATATGCAACAGTACTCAGTGTGTGTACTGGCATGTGAGCAAGATTTTGCAAGTTTATTTGTAATCCTTCCTATCTACAGTGACACACTGAGAATGATGTGACATATCAAAATTGTTGAAGTGTAACGGAAATACAACCTGCATTCCTGCATTTGTTTTCCATGTCAATCAGAATAAAGAAAGCAAATAGACTATGTGAACAAGAAAACATGCTTTTTTTCTTGGTCACCCATGAGTAGGACAGTGATTTATAGTCTGTTCTGTTAATGGTGTATTTTAATAACTAATTTTATTTATTTTTCTGGTAGTATTACCCTGCCCCTCCCATTTAAATATCTTGGAGGTACATAATAATGACTAATTACACGGGGGAAATGATGAAACAGTTTGATAATCTGCTGAAATATTGTTTGTTTTCCCTTGCAGATGGTTATTAAAAAATCAGTAGTTCCATTGTAGTCCTTAATGTAATTACTCATATGAATATGATATGCATAAATAAAGACTACATATGTACATAGTTTGAACAATTGGATCACTATGGTATTTCACATGGTACATCTTCCTAATTATCCCCAAGATGACAAAAAGGCCAAAGTTTATGGAGCATTATATGAAATTTGGATTGAAATTTGGGGCTAAAAGTCATTTCCATTCCTCTCCTTATTGGTGATCTGTTGCTTCTTGTTTTAACCAAAGCTTTGCTTTTGTGACAAGCTTTAAAAATGTCCAGAAAACTTTGCACATTGTACATAGTCTCTCTGATCTTGCAGGAGTTAAATGGAACGTAATAAAAGAAGTTACATTCATCTAATATAACAGCACAAAGCTGCAGTGCTTGTATGCCAGTGAAGAACTGGTTTCTGTGTGAGGAGGTGATGACGAGTCAATGGTCACCTGCTCCTGCTCCTTGTCTTTGGCTGAATCTTCTTACTAGTCTCTTCACTCAGCTGTAGGAGCTATGCCTGGTAGAGAACTAACCTTACAAAAAAGGAGATATTTTTCTGCCCATCTAAATCCCTGGCTTACCCTTATTATATGACACTGTTCAGGCAAGTAGGGGATGAAAGAGTGTGGGAAGAGTGGCAAGGGATTTGTTATTTTTTCTGTACCTGTTCATCATTCGCTTGGTTTAGTTGTATTACCCAGTTGTGCCTGTGACTTGGCAGAGAGCACGTAAAGGAGCCTTTATGACTTCTCCCCCTCGTTATTTTACACTGACTACTAGAATGATGGGAAGCCTGTGTACAGATGCAATCCGTGACTTTATTTCATCCAGGCCATGCAAACGTATTTCTCCCTCTTTTTTTAATGGCCCATGTGTTTGTTACTGCATGACTTATGCAACTTTCAGCAAATGAAACCTAGCAGATACGTGTCAGATCTGGACTTGAATGGTCAGGTAGAAAAGTTGAGAAATGGTGATTGAAATGAGCAGTCAATTCAGAATACTGTACCTGATTTAATGCTAGATTTGTCTATAACACTGCATTTTGGTAAATACATGATATTCCTATTTGTGAGTTACAAAGTAATAACCTGGAGCAATAACTTACAATCTGCTTTGCAGCAAACTTCTCACAGAAGTGAAGGACTCGGAGCCGTAACTTAATGCCAGATGCAATGTGACTAAAATGTCATTCATCTGAAGGAAATAAATTTAAAACTGTCATGAAGGAACAAGAATACCGAATATGTTTAAGCATATTCTTTAAGCACATTCAATGACGTATAAAATGAGAAATAATAATTACTTAGCTTTATTTTTTCCAGAAACATAATTGTTTTTGACATACCAGTATCATACTGATTAATGAGATAGCTATTGACAATATCACTTCATGAAAAAAAGCTGTAAAAGTGGCAGGCTACACCATTAATGGGTAAGATATGATTATATCTGTTTTCCAAGTTGCACACTCATATTACAGTGTTACATCTTCTGAAACATAATATACATGTATATTATATATAATGGTCAGGAAAACTTCACAGTCTGTACACACAGATATCTCTTGGTCTCTTTCTTCAGCCCTTCTTCACATTGATTTCAGGCAGAATTACTTGCATTAGCAGAGGATGGAGAGCTGAGTGTTTGTGGTGGTTCTCAATAATGAATTTCTGAAAGATTCCAGAAATGTCACTCGGTTCCTCAAACATTTTCTGCAAACCAAGCAACATGCTTTGAAGTCTGTGCTCAGAAAAGAAGAAACAAAACCAAACTGTGAATCTTCAGAAATAGATTCACAGTTCTTCTCCTCTTGTAGAATGCTTCAGTGGCTTAATGAGGTTAATTTGTATTAGGTTGTGGGAAATCCGTTATCTACTGCACAGAGGCTTTCATTTCACATGAATGTGACAGATACTGTACTTACTGCACTCAAACTTAATTATGTGATAGCATAAGGAGCTGAAATCCCTGCATTTCCTCTCAGGGAATATTCATAGCACACTCTAGATGGTAAACAGAAACTAGAGGATGGTTGGCCTAGATTTTCAATAATTGAAATATATTATACACATATAAATATATACATTTTAGGTTGTTTTGATTTCATACCTAGAACATTTAAAAACAATTTTAATAATGATAGGTCACTCTCAGTACGTGGTTATTTTTTATTCTATTCCTTTTTCACATTTTTTTTAGCCTTTGAAATGCTTTTCTGTGTTGTACGTGAAACTAAGTAACCATTTCTTCTAATTACAGTCTTTTCCAATAAGAGACTTTAAATACCAATTTTCTCTTCCTAATTAGTACAGAGTGAGTCTTTCAAAAGTTTTGTTTCAGAATGAACTTTTATTTCAAAGCTCTTAACAGCTCTTGAAACTGGATTCTGTTTCAGATGGCTATTGATGTACACAGTAATTTCTCCTTGTAGGTATATTATTGCATTTCTGGAGATTTGGTAGAACTGTTGTAGAACTACCTAATGAAAAACTGAAGGGACGACATTTCAGGATCATTGAGACACATTACAGTACAAATAAGGACTGAAAACTAATATAGTGAAAAATTAAGTGGGAAGAAATTCACTAAATTTACATTATTTTTTAAGATTCAGTGTCTGTTTTTTAATGTATATTTAATAACACAAAAACAGTGAATTTTTATTAGCATGTGTGCATATTAAATGTGTAATTGCCTATCAAAATAAAAATGAATGTGAATTTAAAAAGCAGCTTGTGTTTGTTCTCTCATATATCACATGTACTACATATTTTTCTCATAGATTTCTGGTGTGTATGTGTGTTATTTTTTATTGTATCATAATAAAATGAATCATGGGTTAATAATTTTCACTGTGTTACAACATTTCAGATGTAGTACTGCATTATATGATGAATATAATGCAGCTTGATGTAGCATCATGCAATGAGTGACTACAGAGATCACAGGCTGTTCAATGGACTTTGTTCTACTGCAAAATGCATAATTGCCTAAATGAAATGTTTAGTAGTTTATGTTTTGTTGATGAAGACACAGAGTCTAATTACTGCCTGTGGGTTTTGTCTTTAGGAATGTTCTTGGGGGCCATATTCTACATCAAGTGTATTTTGCTCCTTCAGTCCTTTTGAGAGCTGATACTGTGCAATAACAGCCCAGTAGATCCAATGTTGGGCTCCCAAGAGCCCCTTGATAGGGTTTTCTCCATGTGGAAACTCACTTTTTCCATTAGGATATAAAAGGTAATGGAACCATTCAATGCAGAGAATCCAAATTTTTTTTTTTTTTTTTTTTTTTTTTAATCTTTCTCTTCACCACTGCATGCTATGATAAAATTATTTTTATGAATTCCAGATCCTTTGAGAAATGGCTGCTCAACCAGAAAGGGTAGTTTTCTTACATATCTTAGCACATAAGTCCTCTCATAGGACTCCAGTGGCATTGGTTAGAGTAGCATGGAGATGATGAAGGTTGTCCTGTTGTCATCTGGGTTTGAAAAACTTTTATTTCTTTTGTTTCCAGACTTCCTTTGCAGTGCCAGGCAGACAGTTAAAATGCAATTCCTTAATAATTTTTCTTTCATTTTCTTTTTTTCTTTTCTTTTTCCATTTTCTTTATCTTTCTCTTCTTTTTTCTTTTTTTCTTTATCTTTTCCCTTTTCATTTCCTCTTTCAAGGCTTTCCCTGTATCCTGCCAGCTCTTCTCTGACCATTTGCATGAAGGTTTTGGGAGAACTTATGAAAAACCGTGATTGCAATGGACATAAACTCTGGACACATAGAATCTGAAAATATATGCATATGTATGAATTTTAAAGTTGATATACTTTCCTTCCAAGGTCTTACCCTGAGGGAAAAGAATAAAAAAACTTGGTAGAAATATACAGCTGCTTACAGGAGTCCAGAAATTAATGTATTTTGTACATTAGTTTTATAATGTCTCTGCTTTCCACTTCACTGGATCAGTTCTGTATGCAGCCTTCTCCAATTGCTTTTCTTTAGCCAGCATTTTCTGCCTGAGATAGTTACACTACATTTGGAAAAGAAATCAACTTTACAATCTACTGTTAGTACCATTGTAATTCTAGTTTCATGCATGGCAGACTGCCTTACAGATCCAAGTTTGATGCATTTCTAATTAAAGAAAAACAAAAAAAGTACCCTCAAACAACACAATGTTACCTCACAGTATTATCAAATTGCCCATCTTCTTATTTTCACAGCTCACCATGTTAAAACTGGGACCTGTGAAGTGGTGGCACTCCACAGATGTTGCAATAAGAACAAGATAGAAGAAAGATCACAGACAGTGAAGTGCTCCTGCTTCCCTGGGCAGGTAGCAGGTACCACCCGGGCTGCTCCTTCTTGTGTTGATGGTGCGACTACCTCTATTGCTTCCTTTTATTGCATGTTCCTACATAATTTTGTTAGCTTAAAGGTATCAAAAAATCCACTCTATTGCAGTTAGCTTTTTAAAATAAGACGAGAAAGGTTTCTGCATTTTGAAGGGCAAGTCCAAGGTGATGGGAAAAATGAATTATTTGTTATTACTCTGTGGAAATGCTAAGTGAAATTATTAGATGCTAGTGAAAGAGACCTCTTGAGAAGCTAAATTTGACCTAACCAACAGAGGGCCCCCAACAGTGTATGGAGTTCACTTAATTAAAAGTGTTTACACAAACTCTACAAGAGCATGTCATTTTCATATGCTATGGTCTTACACTTCATTTATTATTTTATCTTCATCGTAAAGCATTAAACAAGCAAACAAAGGGAACACAATTCTGGCTTTTTTTGAAAAGTCTCTGTAGACCAACAATATTTTTTCTGTTCATTGTACAGTATTAATGTTTTATTTAACAAATCTGGCATTGATTCATATGTTTTAATTGGGAATATACTAGCTTATTTTTCATTTCTATTTCTCTGAAAGAGGAGCAGAATAGATTCACCCTTTCCACGATCTCTTTACTGTTGATATGTTGTTGGCTGTCAGAGAAACTGTAAATATGTCATCTTTGGGAAATATATTTAATCAGCCTGTGCCAGACTGTAGAGTAGATCAGGCAAAATATACTAACTCAAAAGAAGAGACTCTGCTTAAAACTTTGAAATCTGGCTGAGCAAGAGAAAATGAGAGTTGGAAAGGAATGCTATGAAATTACTTTCTGAACTGCAGTAAATTAGAAAAAAAAAGTAGTAAAGAGATTGTCTTTGAAATATGTAGCACCTTGTGCAAATTGAGGCTTCATTTCTCATGAAGATTATGAGCTGGCTGCAAATCATAGAGTAAATGTTGGTTAATATATTTCTAACATTTTCATGGAAAATAAAAGAAGTAATGCAATATAATGACATATTAAAATGTCTATTTCAAGAACATGCAAATGTAGATGTTTTCTTCTCTTATAGCTTCAATAGTGGAGCAGAAATGGTGGTGCCACATGCAACCATGTCTTGAAGGGGAAGAGTGTAAGGTTCTTCCAGATCGTAAGGGATGGAGCTGTTCCTCTGGGAATAAAGTGAAAACAACTAGGGTAGGTATGAAACCAACCTTACATGCTACAAACAGGTAAAAAAACGTGCACAGAAAATTGGGTACACATGGAAGACATCAGCTGAGAAGAGCAAAGAAATGTGGGAAGAGACTCATACTGGGAATGGACGTCATCATCCTGCACACTTGTCTCAGCATACATAGCAGTTGCTTGATCGTGGTAAGCAGTGTGCCAGACCGTCTCAGGTGAGCAGTGGAGATGATAGAGTTGACACCTTTTTCAGCTACTGGTAATGATTACGTCGCAATCTGACATGTATTTCTTTCTGAAACAAAATCTGTGCTAAGCTCTTTATTTACAGGATAGCAAACAAGTACATTTTAACCAGTAACATGGCATTACCATGTTTTGACGTAGAAATTGCTGGGCATGGTAAGCATTTGATATATGCAATTAAAAGAGGATCTTCTGGTTCTTTCTTTTTGTGTGACCGATTGACTACAGACTTTTCAGTTTCAGTAAATTCCTTTTCTCCATTTGACACTTTTTGTATTACTGTTTCAAAATCAGATTATCTAAAGTAAATCTAACATTCATTATATACAATGCCTGAAAACAGAGTAAACCTTCTGTCATCTCAGTTTTTAGTGCCTACCAACACAAGAGTAACAAATTCTTCAGCTAAGCAGGAAGTTCTCAAACTTCCTCAAAATCCAGAACTGTGTCTCTACAGGATCAACAGTTCTATATCCACATAAAACATTACAAATGCTCCCTGAAGTCACATATGTATGTATATATGCAAGAACACCTTCACTTCTTCACTCTCCCATTCGTACCTGATCACTGTTTTGCTTGTAGGTTTCTAATAATTGTTTGTGGTGTCAGGCCAGTACATTGTTAACATAGGTGTATCTGAGTGTTTAAGTCATTTGAATAAAATCTTCCCCATGTAGGCGCTAAATTTCTGAATGCCTTGATTGTACTGAAATGTAGTATTGTCTGGCTGAATTATATTTTATTCCACAGAGAGATCTGCATGTCTCAGTTTTTGTATGCCTAAGTTTTTTTTTGCCATTTTGACATTCTTTGAAGGAAGGATATTTCCTCAATGTTTGATGTACTCTTCTTCTCCCAGTGCCACAGTCAAATGTATATATTCTGAAGCTAACCGTTCTTGAATTCTGCCCACCTAACCTAGTAACCTAACTAAATACCTGCTAATGCATATCTGGTTATATGAATATAAAAGGTGTGTGCATGTGTAATCCAACGGAAAGGAACTAGAAGAAATGTAATAATGACAATAGAAGCAGGAAAAGAAGTGTGCGTACGTTTTGAAATTTGTCCTTGTTACTGCTGCATTGTATATGACACTATCAGTGCTCAAGAATGCATGCCATTTTATATTTAATGTGTTTAACAAGCATATAAGTAAAAGTGTGGCTCTGGATTACCCTCCTGTAGAAAAAAATAAAAATGATCACAAAATGGGAAGACATCAATAGGAACCTCTTTGAGGATATTTCTTCACATTTTGTCAAAAGATAAATTCTTCTGTCAAGGTTATGAAATTATGCCTGCTCTTAGGAATTCATAGAAGCCCAAGGCTCTTGCCTGGAAGGGTTCATGCCTCTGCTGCAGATTCACTCCTCTTTTCAGGAGTTGGCCTTTTCTTGTCCTCCATGGATAGTGGCAGTCCTCAGGACTCACTTCGTGTTCCTCAGAAGTGATACTATGAAAAAGCCACCTATTAGACACGCTGACTCAGTTGAGTGGCCATCATAACCTGCAGCTACTAAAAGGAAAAAAAAGCTGATTCCCTTAAATCCCTTGCTATTTGCTCTGCCTTCCAGTTTGTTCAGATACTATGTGTTTCCCCGTTCTTCATTTTCCAAACGTATGCAATACTGTCTTGAGACATTCCCAAATTTGAATTCAAATTTCTGAATTTGAATTCAAATTACTGACTGAGACCAAGTCTCAGTCATTGAGAAGAGATGATAGGGAATTGAAATTCTCTGTCTTTCTGGGCACAAGAGGATGGGATTTTAACAGATATCATTTTGATGCCCAGAAAAATATATATTAAGAATGCAATTGACTGCAGTAAGAGTAGCTTCTTATCAAAAGCAAGTATTTTTCCCTAATTTGTAGTGAATATGATATTTTTTGTAGTTCCTCTTTGTGCTCCCCCTAGTCTGTAAACAACAGGAAAAATTCTAAATGACTCTGAGTTTTCAAAGCTCCTTTTAAAGGAAAATAAAGAAGAATTCTTCAGAGAGTAAGTATTAAGAAGACATGAATAAAATTCTTCTGATTTTTAAATGAAATAGCCCATATATGATTATCATGTATAATGTAAAAGCATAAAGAAATGAAAGAACTGAAGAGGCAAGACAATTTAAGTGTACTGCAGTAAAGCATTGTGAAGGCTTTCCTGAAGGGGTCTAAGAAAGTATGAGGTCTATATTCATCTCCAAACATCTTCTGTTAGTTTGCCTCCTTCATGAGCATAAAAAGTAACCCATTTAACTGCTGAAGTACTGTCTTCTCAGCTACAGAATACCATTATTTCAAAGCAGCACTTAGATTTCCATATGCTCTTAATAATTAAGCATTCCAGTAGAAATTAAAACAGTAATAGGAAGAGGATATTTTTCTTGTCCAAATCTGTTAGAATATGTAATTGTGTCACTGTAAAGAATGATGATGCCAAATTCTTGACACTTACGTTAAGCAAAAATTTAAGCAAAAAGCAAATTATGTGAGTAATGAAAGAAAATTAATTTATTTTTAAATATCTGGTCTACTTGAGGTTTTGCTTTTTATTTAGATAAAGAAGGATCTAATAAATTTACAAACCAATAGAAGATTAGAAATAGTATGAGTTCTATGGTTCTGAGAATTCAAATGTTAAGAAAAGTCAGATAGCAATTATTTACCTTAGTGATGCAATATCAGCTATTATGGAAAGATTAAACTGTAGTCCTCATTTCTCTACATACTAGTGGAAGATGCAGATGTTAGGAGTTATTCATGGAAAACAATGAATTCTGGGGTGGGGAGTATGTTTGTGAGTAAACTGAATACTGAGTAAACTCATTTTGATTTAGAATTGACTGTTTTGGGCTTATAGAGCCTGCAGGAGGGGAAGAAGAGAAGAGGGAATGGCAATTTAGCTAATGATTTCATGTAGAGAAATATATGTTTGTGTTCCTGAACATTATACTGCAACAAAAGAAGATGTTCAGAAACTCATTAATTTGAATTATGAAGTGCTTATGTGCATAACTGAGATTTGCCAGGTACATTCTGGCATTTTTGTCCAGACTGAGAAACTTTTGTGAAGGAAGTAAATTAATTCTTTTTCCGTATGGCTAGTCTCAAGGTTTTGCAAAATAAACACAAAATTTTTGCCAAGATATTCACCTTAAGTGATAACGAAAGTTTAGAAAAGGGGAAAATTCTGAAGAAATATTTTTGCTTTTGAAGTAATCATTTTTTCTCCCAAACTTTTTCTAAAATAATTATCTTCATTTAATACGTTCTTTGGATGTGTTTCTTTTCCATGTCGTGAAACGAACAAACAAAAATGCTCATTTAAAATGAGAATTTTCTCATCACTTGAATCCCCAAATGGCATTATGAATGAAATTGACAATGACATTCACAAAAAATACAAACTTTAATAAATGAAGGAGCCCCTTACGAAGTCTAGATAGCAAAATTGTGCAGTCAGATAAGATCATCTAAGCAGAAAAAATCCTGTTTCCTATTTTTCACCAGTACGAGGTGCACGTCTTTCACACTGGAGATCTCTAGGCAGTGGTTTTTCAAAGGCAAATCCAGATGCTAGGCTTTACTTGTATTTTTAAGAACAGCACGTTGTCTACTTTATAATACAGGCTTACTTCAAGCGGAAGCACCAGAAGCTACATGTGACTTGTGTGAAAGTGCAACCTGCAATGCTTCCTGGGCATCCTGGTTCCCCAGGCATCAACCCTCAGACTAGCTTGGAGCAAGGCTTGGCTCTTGGGCAACCTATAAACCCAGATGTTTTTTCTAAAGAATCCGGAGTGCAGGAAAACATGTGGTGCATCTTGAGGCTTCCCTTCAGATCCCAAAGCTGTGATATGGTAAGAAGTTACTCTTATGCTCAAGAATGGAGAAGTGCCCCTGGGCTACAGTTCAGCACTGTCTGTAAATCAGACAAGATCAGATAAGGTGGGCTGGTATTTTATGAAGAAATATATGCTGGTATTTTTCATACAAAACAATACCTTGTCCTTGAACTTTTGTTTTGGTAGAACTGCTAGTGGAATATAAGGTACAATTTAATACAAAGTTCTAGTTAAACCATTCATATTGGAATTCACTGGTATTTGTTTAGAACAGGACTGTCTATCCTAAGATCCAGTCTATCTTATTAGTATCAGAGACAACTGCCCACTTCCAAAGAACAATCTGTTTTGTCCTAAGATAGGTCAGATGAATTATCTTTAGAAGGTGCTTATGTCTCCCTAATAATTCTCAAGGAAAGCTTTGATGATTAACTTAGTGCCTAACATTTGGATGCTTAGCGTTGAATAAGAAGATGCTGTCTAGGAGGCTTTCTTTGATGTGGTCTTCAGTAGGAAGCTGATCTAAAAAAATCCTAAATTCTCTGTCAGTTTGGAAAGCTTTGGGCTTTGACCACTGTCAAATGTAATACAGTGTGAGAGAAGCTTTTAAAACTTTCTGAAGATACTCAGCTGTATGCCAAATAAGTGAATCATACTGTGATGAGCATCATGCCCAGTATCTATTATTCATCAGAAATTGGTAACCAGTGCATGTCCTTTTAGGACAGCCTTGTTGTTATAATAATAATAATATAAATGAACCAAAATGATCAGATGCACTGCATAGCAGGTATTTCTTATTAACCTTTGAAAATCTCTAGAAGGTGAAAGTGAACAAAGTAATATTTTCCTATGAACAAGTGCTAAGAGTACTTTCACACAGGTCATAAAAGGCCGTCTTTTGGAAATGAGCATCTAACTTCTGGAATAGCTTAACACCCACACTTTTATGGGAGGCAGAAGGAACTGCAATTGTCACTCTGAAAACAAGCTATTATTTTTAATATGTGGGTAAAAGCACACTCCAGAAGAGAAAGAAATCAATAGTTAATATATTACTATGTAGCTGTATGCCAACCCAATATTAGAAATAGAGTACTGTAAATATATATGTATAAGGAACAGAGAGAAATAAGAGAGAAATTTTACGTGGCCAGAAATAAATCCATACTGAGTCCATTTATCTACATTCCAAATCTGCTTTCCAAATCAATACCACAGATAGATGACTAATGAAAAAAAAAAAAAAAAAAAAAAAAGGACAAGCAGAAATATAGAAATATTGCCAGGATGGAGAGAAATCCATACTGAGAATGTTTATCTACATTTCAAACAAT